CCCCCTCCCCCCAACCACCCACCCCAGCATCCACACGCAGCCGTGCACACACTTACCCGCACGCACGCCAGACGCGCCATCAGTTGTTTTACAATGTTAGTCCATAACCGATAGGTACCAGGTGCACCCTTAAAATTTAATAAACTGTCGTATTATGAATCGTTTCTTCATATTAAAAAGGAAATCTTCAAAGTACGAATGCCGACGTTCGTGATACGTAACACACTTTCCTAGTAAGGTTTCTAGAGTGGTATATCAGGGGGCACTGTATAAGGGGCGGCCTACCTTTCATAGGCGGCTGCCACCCCCACCTCATACCCCCTTTAATACGTGCCTGGGGGTGTCTGCACCGGTCCAGTACAAAAAAAGGGACGTTTCTTTTTACACATTAAGCGCCGGACTGTCAGTCGTTTTCGCCACATGGAAATGTACTCTCTGAATCTTTGTCTGCCGCTCGCTTTAAAATGTTGTGCAGTGTCCGGAGGCGGCGGTGCCACCCCGCTCGTGTTTGCGTGGCGTGGCGTGGCGTGGTAACCATTCGACACACCGTTCGATTACTCGCTTTTTCCTACCGAGCCCCTACCGGGTCCAGGCGGGAGGGCTGTCGCACCAGCAGCGCCAGATGTATCACCCCTTAACAAGGTTTTGCGGGGTGGGGAGTGGGGTGGGCTGTGGGCTCACCCAGGTGAACGAGCGGCCACGGAGGACGGAGGGCACCCCCAGCAGTGAACACAAAAATAAAGGTAAGGAGTGTCCAAACTTCCTACTTGCATTGATATTTGGAGGTTTTACGGGAAAATTTCCAATGAGAAGTATTGAAAAGTTTCGATTCAGAATTGTGAAATCACAAAATTATTTACACTGGTAAAACAAGTGTGCAATATTTGCACACCAACGTGTGCAAGTTGTGATTTTGCACATTACATGGTGTTTAACTCAAGTTGCACACTTGCGTGGTGTGCAAATTTTAGACGTTTTGTAAACGTTTAAATTCTGCTTACTTGGGCACACAGTTCTATGCTGTCAATAGGGAACCATTCGGTGTGCAGCTGCGATACATTTCGGAAGTGTCGAAAGTTTAAACACCAATTGACGTATAACATAGTTAAACACCACAAAGTGTCTAGAAAATGCACACTTGAACTTCAACGTCAATTGACGTGCAAAATTAAACACTTGTTTTACCAGTGTATCAAGCATGAATAAGGCTTCGCGACTTGCTACGCACGCGCGAGGCCTAATAACTTAAAATTTTTCGACGAGAAAAAAGTAGTTGCCTTAAATTAACGGTAACGGTCAAACATTCACAGTATATCGTTTTCTATTTTTTAACAAATAGAAGAGAGTCGGGGAGAAGTTGCAATTCATCAATCTGAAACGCTACATACAACGTTCTTGTCACAATCCAATTTGTTTCCTTTTTCTCTTTTCAACAAAAACTTTTAGACTGATCCTAGTTGTCTCGATTACGTGCGCGCTAGGTGAGCTCTGGTCCCGATCGCAGACCGAGGCGGCGGGCGCGGCGC